TTAGGATTTAAAAATCCTTAACTATTTGTTTGCTTTAGGGCACATCTAATCAAACAAACAAAACCCTTTACATGGCATAAGAAATGACATGACTAGACAAAAGTGTTGATTAGCACAGTCTGGCATACTGTCTTTGCAACTTGATTTGGTGGGAAGCTGAGGTCTTCAAGGAGGAAATCAACGATTTAAATATCTCAGTTCCCAACACAAGTCAAGTTGCAAAGATGGCATCTCAAGCTATACTAATCAAATTCTTTTTCCCAACAATGTAATTTCTTCTACTCCGTGGAATACTTTTTTGGCCTGCTTTTGGGCACAATCTAGCCCAAATTAAACATTTTAGGCCACTGATTTCAGCAGATAAGTGCTATAATATGGTGATAATAGACAAGACATCTCTCTATAAAATAATTCTGTTTTGGTCATGGAGTCTCCTGAACATTCCACACGCTCCCAAATCACTTAGCTCCCTGATCTGTCACTTAGAAGCTGTCCCTATCCACTGGCTGCGTTGCCTGAGTCTCGCCTCCAGTATTCTAAACAGTTTGCTGTTCCTCTCCCCTCAATAGCCAGTGGGAACACAGAGGTCATTTGCATATGCGGCCTGATTAGCCTTTGCCTCTAACATTCTAAACTGTTTGCTGTTGCTGTTGGGAGTCATTCAATGTGTCCTGAGGTAAAATACATATCCCAATCTTCCCTTAAATGGTTACTGGAGTTGCCAATCTCCCTGTGGGGCCTGGAGATCTCCCAGAAATCACCGTGTTCCCCAGCCACAGCACATCATTTCCCCTACAGAAAATTTCCCAGCTATTACAATGGCTGCTTTGGGCAGTGGACTCCGTGGAATTATACCCTGCTGAAGTCCCTCCAAACCCCCAAACCCTGTCCTCCCTAGGCTCTACCCCTCAAATCTACAGGTCTGGCCCTCCCCTTAGTATTGCCAGCCTCCAGGAAGCACCTGGAGATCTCCAAGATCAGTTCTCCTGGAGAAAATGGCTGCTTTGGCCAGTGGACTCTATGGAATTATACCCTGCTGAGGTCCCTCCGCACCTCAAACCCTGCCCTCCCCAGGCTCTACCTCTCAAATTTACAGGTATTTCCCAAGCCAGAGTTGGCAACCCTGTAACTGGCTATGGAACCACTTTCCAGACCCTTGGAACCCAGAAGACCTGGCATAGGTGGAGGTGCTTTTCTACCTTAGCTGCCACTGCATAACCCCAAATCAACATAAGTCAGGGGTGGAGGGAACCATACCTGTTACCATGAGGCTGTCCTCCCATACTACCCACTTGGGGCAGGAAAATTACTTGAGCTAAGCAGAAGGAAATAAACACAGCTTGCCTCCCTCTATTTTCCCCTTCCCTCTGCTGCCCCACCAGCCACAGCTGGGACACTCACCTGCAGCTTCTTTCTAGAGCTCATTGTATTTCTTCCCACAATGGGCCTTACTCCTAGTGAGAGAATATTTCAGGGTTAAGAGAGTGCTTCTGAGCAGTGTTCCCTCTAAGCTGAGTTAGTGTGAGCTAGCTCACAATTTTTTAGCCTCCGGCTCACACGTTTTTGTCTTAGCTCAGGAAGGATGGCTCCAGAGCAAACTAATCTATGCAGTAGCCAAATGGCTCGCTCACAACTGTAATGCCAGTAGCTCATAAAGTAGGATTTTTGTTCACAAGACTCCACAGCTTAGAGGGAGCATTGCTTCTGAGCTCCCTGAAATCAGAGGAAATTTATGCTGCCTTCAGCTTGGTACTGCATCAGACGTGGACTGCACTGCTAACATCTTCCGTCATTCAAAGCAACAATTCATTTTTATTGTTGACAATTTCTTTCATACTCTTTAGAAAGCACTTCACTGCCATTGCCATCAATAGTGTATACTGAAATTATCTTCTTGGTGATTTAAATCCATGATACGATCTACTAAAAATATTCCCATTAACTTGCTGTCAGTGTTCTCTGAATACAAACTGTTCATTTTTAAAAATCATTACACAGATAAGGCTTGCTTTATGGTCCTGTTCTATTTTGCACATCAGTGGCGGTAAAGAAAAGTACCCCAAGTACTCCATCATAATCACAGCTGATGGTAACTTTATACCAATTATTACAAGTTGAAATGGCACACACCGATCAATTTCAGAACAGCACAGAGGCTGGATTCAGGCACAAGTGACCCTAAGCTGGTTTGTACTGAAGTGACCGAAGTAGTAACAAAAAAACTGTGCAGGAGTTTGCGCTAATAATTTTGAAATATTAATCAAAAAGATTTCATACAAAAGAGTGTACAATATTTGCATAACATATCAAATACAAGTGAAGACGGTGATCTCCGGAATGTTCTGCCGTTTCGACACAAGTCTTCTTCTGAACAATGATGTATACATGTGGTGTCTCTCTATTTCATTTCAACTGATTCATCATCAACTATTTCATGGATCTTTCGGGATTGTCTAATACATTGTAGAAACAGTTTCTAGAAAAGCCTGGCAAGGCAATTCTACTTCATTCGCCCATGGAAAGGCTTTTCTAAAAACTGTTTCTAAAATGTATTAGACAATCCTGAAAGATCCATGAAATAGTTGATGATGAATCAGTTGAAATGAAATAGAGTATACATCATTGTTCAAAAGAAGACTTGTGTCGAAACAGCAGAACATTCTGGAGATCACTGTCTTCACTTGTATTTGATATGTTATGCAAATATTGTACACTCTTTTGTATGAAATCTTTTTGATTAATATTTCAAAATTATTAGCGCAAACTCCTGCACAGTTTTTTTGTTACTACTTTGGTCTGTTCAGGGACTGTGGCCATCAGCTTTAGACATATTTTGTACTGAAGTGAGCCTGGGGGACTCTGGGGCTCGTAAACTTCCTTCCCTTAACATGGCTCATTCTGCAAACCTGGCAAGTCTGCCATTATGCGACTCTCTTCCCAACAAATCAGGATTCTAACCCATGATGTAAGGTTTGGAATTCTGGTTTGTAAGAAAGACAGCAAGCCACAGCTTATGGCTTACATATAAGAACAAACTGTGATTTGCCTCAGACCTGGAAATCTTTCACTAACTGGCCACACACAAGAAGAGGAACACACAAGCCTAAACATCCGCCATGACTGCTCCCACAGTGCCAAACCATGGTTTGTGACTGCATTTGAACCCAATGACAGTAAAATATGCAGATTATCACCCTTTTCTAATCTTCTTCTGGTCTTCTATACACTAGACATTTTATCTCTTTTGCTTTGCTGTATAGTTGTTAAACTGCATAATTGAATGAGGTTTCTAGATAGCTGACTCCTTCTGGAAACAACACAGAACAGAACCTATGTATGGGACAGGAGCATTATTCTGAGGAGAAAGCATTCTTCACAATAGGAGTTGGTTTAATGGTAGAGATCTGAGATCTTACATCCGCACTAGCCCTTGCAATTACATGGTAGGGTCCAAAGAACTGTGGAACTAGTTCTGGGAGCTCAAGAAGGCTTTACAGATTTTTGGTAACAAAATAACAATAATAATAACAATAATAAAACAAAAACAAAACAAGAGTGAAAGTAAATAAACAGTATAAGCATTAAATAGGAGACAGAAATAAATAAACACCAAACAAAGACTAGACAATTATTACACCCAAGTAAATAATACAAAAAAAGAATACCATACAAGTAAAAAGACAAATTATAAGTCTATGGCCTCAGGAACAAGTGGTGGAAGGAAAACATCTATATCCTCTCCAGGGCAATTGGGAAGCAGTGTACAATTAAAACTTACAAACATGGCTATTCCACAAGCAACAATGAAAGAAATAAATAAAACCATACAAGATAGTGTGGCTCAAGCTGTGTCGCAAGCTGTGGGGCAAGCTATGAAACACGCGCTGACAGACACTCTACCTGTGGCAAAAATGTTGGTTCTGAAATCTTATTTCCATTCCTTCCTTCTCCCGGCACGTAAAGTGAGTCATATCATTAAATGAATGAGAGTGGTATCAAAGAAGGGGTGTTTTTTCCCCTTGCATTTTTACACCAGGAGGATTCAGTAATATGAGTCACTGATCTCAGTGAAATAAATGCCGCTATCTGCAATGTGAACAAGATATGATTCTAAATAACCAGACTGCTGTGTAAAATATATATTCTTCAAAATGAGTTTTCTCAATATATGCAATACTACTGGTGTTATAGGAGCTGCGGTGGCTCAAGTGGTTAAGACTGCAGGCTGTGGAAGGTCGGTAGTTCAGGAGTTCGAGACCCGGGTGCCGCATGACAGAGTGAGCTCCCGTCTCTAGTTCCAGCTCCTGCCAACCTAGCAGTTTGAAAGCAAGAAATTGCAAGTAGATAAATAGGTACCACTTCGGTGGGAAGGTCACAGCGTTCTGTGCGCCTTGGTGTTTAGTCATGCCAGCCACATGACCACGGAAACGTCTTCAGACAGCGCTGGCTCTTTGGCTTTGAAACGGAGATGAGTACCGCGACCCTAGAGTCGGATTCGACTGGCTTTCGAGCAAGGGAACCTTTACCTTTACCTTACTGGTGTTATGGCTACAATCCAACTCAGAGGAAAGTGCATTAGAGTCCACTGAAATGAGTAGGTTTAAGCGCACTTAACCGTTTTGGACTGTTTCCTTTATCTAGCAAATCTTTTTCCTTCTCAAACAGTGCTGTAGAATAATGCAAACAGTGCTGCAGAGACTGCAGAATCAGGCCCTCAAGATATACCTAGCTGCTGCCTAGCTTCATTTTCACGCTTTAAAAAACCAACAAAAACCAGCATAAGCACGGGGATGTCCATTCTGTGAGCAGTTCTGGGGGAACCAAAACCAATACTTGCTACATGAAAAAGGACCTCGTATGTACTGCTTGCTAAAAGAGGAGACGAGAGCAGCAGGATTACTGCAGACCATGGGAGAAAAACCTGCCAACTCTCCATAAATATGAATTGACACTGGTGCTCTCCCACTAAAAACATTAAAGAAAAAGGAAAGGTCACTTACTTCAGTAAATGTTGCGCGACGGAGTGGTGAGCTGAGAGGCGGCCGTCATACATCTCAGTGGAAGCCCATTGCATTATGGCCTGGTGCATGCGATACTGCACAGTGAGCATCTTCACAACACGATCACCGTATTTCTGAATCAGACGTTCCATTAGGCTGAGAGAAAGTCCCTTAGCAGCAGCTCTGCACCAGGAGAGAAATTAACACGGTAAACTCAACAATAAGAAAGAACAAATCCTTTACACACAGTCATACAGCAGACAAAGCTCCTGCATCTTTGAAAAACACACACTTTCCTTTCAAAATTCAAAATGGGGGGGCAACAGTGGGAGGGCAACAATGGGAGGGCTTCTAGTGCCCTGGCCCCACTGCTGGACCTCCTGATGGCCCCTGGTATTTTTGGCCACTGTGTGACACAAGTGTTGGCCTGATCCAACATGGGCTTCTCTTATCTTCTTATGTCTGGGGCAAGGGATGCTCTGTATTCTTGGTGCTGGGGGGGGCAACAGTGGGAGTGATCCTAGTGTCCTGGCCCCACTGCTGGACCTCCTGATGGCACCTGATATTTTTGGCCACTGTGTGATACAGAGTGTTGGACTGGATGGGCCATTGGCCTGATTCAATATTGGCTTCTCTTATGTTCTTATGATTGTTTTACAATAAGGCACCTAAATGGATCTCACCACTTGAAGCATTTACAAATCCAAATCTACTCTAAAAAAATACATTGCTAAGATATGAAGACCTGTTGGATAATAAAAATGAACTAAAATCAACAGAAAAACTAAAAAAACAAGAATTTAATTCAAGCTGGTGGGAAAAAGTACAAGTAGAATCAAGGTACGCTAAGGCAAGTCAGTGGGTTTTTATCAAAAAAATAACAGAAATAGATAAGATATTGCTGTATACCGATGAGAAACTGATTAAGAAATTATATGTATTAATGTTAGAAGATAAAACATAAGATGAAATAGATAAAAACTTTATGGTTAAATGGGCACAAAATGTGGGTCATGCTACTGAACTAGATCAATGGTGAATATGAAAACAAATGTAAAGATTACTAAAGCAACTTCATACAAAGAAAATATTTATAAAATGTTTTATAGATGGTATATGACCAGTGTTCCCTCTAAGCTGAGTTATTGTAAGCTAGCTCACAGTTTTTTAGCCTCCGGCTCACACATTTTTGTCTTAGCTCAGGAAGGATGGCTCCAGAGCAAACTAATTTATGCAGCAGCCAAATTGCTCACTCACAACTTTAAAGCCCGTAGCTCACGAAGTAGAATTTTTGCTCACAAGGGAGCATTGTATATGACCCCAGATAAGTTAGCAAAAATATACCCTGACCTACCAAACGAATGTTAGTAATGTCCAAAAAATGTGGGTTCTTTTTTTCATATGTGGTGGACACGTGATATAGTTAAAAAATATTGTCTTGGATCCATGAACTGTTACAAAAAATGTTAAAAAATAATGTACCTTATATACCTGAAGTATTTTTATTGCATATAATACCAGAAAAATATAAAAAGCAAGATTTATATCTTATTATATATGTAGTGACTGCTGCAAGAATTTGTTGT